GAGTGGACTTTTGCTTAAATGGTAGAGCAGCGGCGTATTTACCCGAAGGTCGTGTGTTCGAATCCCGCTTGTGACATTGACTTTTTTATCTCTATAAAATTAATTGAAAACAATTTATTTGGTCAAGCGGACCACTAAACCTAATCAAATCTAATAATTTCTATTAATTTTTAATACAATTTATAATAAATATAAAATAAAAGTGCTAAGGAAAATAAATACTTCATAATTGACAATATCCCTATTCACTTTTGGGCAGTTTATTTCAGCTTGTAGACCAAACTGATGGTCAGTTAAAGCAAGATTTGGATCTTAAGTCATGTCTCAAAAAGGTGAAATACAATCCACCTATTTTGATTGAGATTAAGTTTTCAGCTTAAATAATTGTAACGTTATTAATAAATCTATTATGTTTAGTGGTCTGATTGATCAAATTACTTCATTCAATTAATTATTCTTTTTATGTAAGGTCTTGGTTGAAATGAGAAAGCTGTTATCATGAGCGGGATTCGAACCCACGACCTTCGGCTGAAGTTATTAACTGTAGTAGTAACCTGTTAATAAAGAAACGAGGAAAAGTAGAAATTTTTCATACGACCATCGTGAAGAGTACTCTAGGTACTAAATGCGTGTTAAACGAAAAAAAAATCACCAATCCCTTGTTCGAATTATAAACAAACCAATTATTACATAGACGTTCACCGCGAGGAGTTTTGAAATAAATTTGATTAAAATGTAAACGTCGTGCCTGCTCGCCCTACCCGTACATTCGGAGACAGACTAAGCTTTTAATCTACGGGCATTATTCACTGTTATTATCCGGGGAGCGAGCCGTCATTTGTAAATCTTATAATCTTTGCTAATGAAACCGTGCACGGAGACAGGTTGAGGCAGTTTTGTACGACTACGATATATGCCGGTTAAAGGACAAATTAAAAGCGTGGAAGGATTTTTGCTAAAACTATTTTGAAAGCAAGCAGAGCTACCCTTTTAATCAACATTCTTCGTCGCAAAATTTCTGCAGTGAAACATCTAACATTTTATTGTAAAGCATTAAACATTTAAAATCCTATGTATATGATGTACTGATTTTTACAAAACTGCCAAAATGAACAATAATAATTTATATATAAAAAGTTTTCAGTTTAAAATACTGAGGATATACAATAAAATGGTATTCATATATTACGTTTATTTAAAAAAATGTATATTTATTATCTCCAATGTAATTAGGCGTCCTAGTAGGTGGCATAACAATTGCAATAAAACAAATTAATTAATTAATTAAAAACAGAATTACCCTCCGTATCCACCCTGTTCGTGCCTAAATGATAAAATGTAAGTTTACCGAAGCTTGTTTTTTTCTCTACAATTAGCTAAATAATTTTTCTCCGAGTACGCCCGGTACGCTCAAAATTCAAGAAGGAGCGAGTTTCCCAGCCTTAACTTTCACCCGCCCATCAGGACAATCGTGTCCGTTTCCTCGTCGTCGGTCTTATGATTCAATTCCAGGCACTTCCTGGAGAGGATGTCGTTGGTCGGGTCGACTATAGCCTCTCTCCTGTTCCATATAACCGCTACTCCCAGCAACGAACCGAGGGCTATTAAGGACAAGGACAAGAGCATCTTGGGGTGCTCAGCCCCAATGACTTGAGGGTGTTGATTGTACGCTGACTCAAACCACTCTTAGCACAACACGGCGGTAAGTTCGACCTTAAAATAGGGCTTCTTGTGTGCCACCATGAAGGGTCTCTTGTAATTTCGCCCTATACCCTCTGTGACGGCTGAAGAACGAAGGCTCTGTACGCGTCACTCGTGCTACTTTGGTAGCGACTATAATCACTTTCGGACGGAAATAAAATAATAATAATTCTAACGAAATTACACGGAATACTTGATAAGAAGCAGAAAAAAGGTTTAATGCAGATTGTAGGAATTATAGGCAGCAAAATCGAAAGCAGGTAGGCACCGAAAGAGAAACAGGATAAAATTAGACAGGAGGAAATAAAAACGGGAAAAATCCTTTCGGAAAAACTAGTTGATATCCGGAAGCAAAACGAACATTTAAGATGGCAGAGTCGAGGAGACAAAAGACGAAGTAGAAAAAGGAAGGAGCAAGAGGATTAAGGAGCAGAAACAAATCTCTACTCACAAACAACTTCAATATTATATTTTTTTATTAAAAAGAACAGCCATAGAGCTAAATATCAAAGAAATGATGTACGTTTCAATATTGTAAAAATGCACATATTCGTAATAATTAATTTTTTTGAACAGTTTGAGTTGAAGAGTTTGAGGGCCCTGTTGAAAAAGGTATACAGTTCAAAAGTTTGATGTAGAAAGTTTTCGTTTTTTACCAATATGTGTCCTTCATGATTTATTAAATTTGATTTTTCAAATTTAAAATTATATACTTATTAATTTACGTTTATCGTACCTATTGAGTAATGGAAGACTTCGATAAGGGGAAAGTTGGAATGGATTTATATGTTGAAGGAAAGGATGCGGATAGACATACAGATGTTAATATAGGCACCATTATGTCTTTACCTTTTTCCAAACCACATTCATCGTCCAAAATAGTCATCTGCGAGGATCCGGACTTAGGAATTTAACTTACCACTTCGGTGCCGAAATATGATACCCAATGTAGGATCAAAAAATTAGAACAATTTAAGTGATCGAGTAGAGAAAAAGACTTAACAGTGAACTTTTATACTCGTTACTTAATACGTTCCCTGTCGATGAGGAACTAAAAATGTCGCCCGAAAGCATTGAAATCAAAGGTGACATGAAAACGTAGGTGAGGAAAACGGGAAAGAACGGAATCCGAAGGGATTGCTTGAGTACATTTAATGACTTCGATCTCTAGTAAAATTAAAATGCAAGTTCCAAAACAAAAACCACGGTATGATGAAAATATACTAAAATGCGGTGCCGCAGAAGAACAGAAATAAATCTTTGCTAAGGTCAACTCTTCACTACATCAATTAGTGCTTACAAAGGGGAAAAGCTAAAAGTATGAGAATGTTTATTAGGCCTGTAAAGTCGGCATAAAACACTTAGTAAACGTTTCGTTTGTATATCATTACATGCAGTATGGTTGAATTAAATCACAAAATCTGTTTGAATTGTAAAAAGTTTTTAATAACGTTTTTTTCAATGCTTCTGTAACTTTTCATTAATCATATTTTTTGACTAACAGAATTGTCACAATGCGTATCATTAAATTTGAAAATGAACCGAGGCACCCTACATAATTGATGTGAACCAATTAGGTAATGAATCTCGTTGATTCAATGGACTTACCTGTTCGGACAGGATTTATTTCCGTTAAAGTACCAGCCTTTTGCAATAATTTAGTGCGAGGAGAAACCGGAGAAGCGGATCGGAACTAGCTTTGTTACGACCGGGGGCTTTTTCCACAAGGATCTTATCATCAAAACGAAACTACATAGATCTTTCTTCAGCCGCCCCTCTCTTTTTATTTCTTGCCCGAGCTCAAATTTCTCATTCTCGCCCTCTCGCGCAAAGCCTAGAAACTCGAGATTAAACTAAATGAATCGCAATAAATTAATTTGGACTTTCTTTCACGACTTTCCCAAGCTGAAAACACAATTAAGTCTCAAGACCATCTTAGGCGATAAATTCTAATACTTAGCTTCTTTCGGGATTTTTAAGGGTCTTTCGTGATATTTCATTTTAATTATGTTAAATATAGCTTATATTTGCTGTATTGTATATAAACACCTGTTTTTATGCGGTATATTTTTTTTTAGTAATCAACCAAACTACGTTACAAATTATTATCAACGAATGTTCTAGTTTATTATTAAAGTGGAACTTTTCTGTGATGTTTCAGTAATTAAATATTTTTTGTTTTTGCATGCTTCTCTCGAAAGTAGGCGATTCAAGCAACATTGCATATAGTCTTTTGTTGGGCGCAGCCCTGAAAACGTTCACATGCGAGCATTCCAACCACCGTCCCTTGTCCTTTAGCCAAGAGCTCTGAATAATTCTTACTGCACGGTTCCCTATTCATAAAATGCTCCATGCATCACATGTCCCTGATTTGGTGTTTTTCATTTGTTTTACGTGAGCAGAAGTGCCTTCGGTTTGCTCATTCAGCAAAGCACCTGTTCATTTGTAAACCACTACGGTTTGCAGAGTATCTGCCGATATAAATACATCTCAAAATCTTCTTGGATCTAGTGTCCAGAATTCGGATCCATCTCGTTCGGTTTTCTCGACTATATTGTCTTCAAAGGGGGCGTCAGTGGCCGCAACGGTTTAGACGTTGAACGGCATTCATCCCTTTAAGGTAAAGGTCCGGGATTCGAATCCAGTGGCCCGGCATTCGAAGCCGACATAATTACAAATGGGCTTTCTTTCAAAAACACCGGCACTGCGAGGGTTGATATAACCTCTGTGTTACGAACCCACGTAAAAAAAGTCTAATAAGGTTGCTCGATCCACTGGAACTTCAGTTTCTGACTTCATTACAGTTCCGAGCTGTCGATTCCAATGATTGTGAAATTTCGATTCGGTGTGCTATCGTGAGTGGAGCTATGATTTTCAGTTAGCAATAAAACAAGCAAATTCGTTGACGTTCATATCTCTACTTCTGAGCAATACAACATTTAAAGTGAAATGAGTCTCATGTGTGCCTACATTATCCTGAAATCATAAAAAGGGTAATTAAAAACAATTAAAAGCAAAATGTAAATACATAGTCACATCTTAATGTTAGTAGCAGTGATAGGGGAAGGAGAGGCCGACGAAGATGATAGGTAACGGCCAAATTATGGAATATCTAGATTGATGATCTTCTAATTTTATTAATAAGCTTTATTGATCTGTTTTGTTAAATATTCTAGCTTTCTTGCAACTCAAAGACATACTTATTCGTTTTATATTTATGAGATACGTTGTTCATATAACCTTATAATAATAAATTTTTCAATGAAGTCAGTTTTTATTTGTTTTTGTTATTTGTTCAGGCGAGTGTTCAGCAGCTTTAGGAATGGAAGAAGGACGGATTCCAGACACTGCAATATCAGCGAGCTCATCGTACGAAACAAAGTCCGTCGGCCCGCAGAACGCAAGGTAAGCCCCTCCTGTAACCTCGTAGAATAAATTTCATCGCGGCAACGTACGGGGCAAGCACGCTAAACCGACATGGCACGATGGTGATGAAGGAGGGGTATGGCTCATTTCGCCTTACACTCGATAGCCGAAACCTGTATTTGAATCTAAATTGAAAATATTGTTGGCAGGGGGCTTTTGCAATTTCCTAATTAACCGGAGTTGTAGCTGCGTTCTGCTTTAATTAAATCCTTTCATTGTCCTGGACTTGAATTCGGCCAAAAAAGGTTGGTTCTTATGGTCCGGGAGAAAATACAGTATGATACATTAAATGAAGTTATAATTTCTGAAGACCGGGGCTAATCAAAATTTTAATTAACAACTTTAAAATCTTTAAATTAGTTAATTTTTTGAAAAATCATATTTGTCAGTTGGTTTTAGGATTACGTTTTATAAATTTACTGAACGAGTGAACTGTTCTAACTAGCCAATGGTGGTTAATATAATTCCATTCTAATTACAAAGGCGTTACTACAAAGAAAAGCTTTTTTTTTAATGTACCAATGAGAAAAGGTACAGGCTAAAGTGAGTGCGGATAAAACGGGAATAGGTTCCGTCCCTCGCCGCTGGCCAAGAAAAGTGACGTACCCCCTCGCAAACATCCTTCCGAAAAACATTGGGCAACAACAACCCCTCCGCACCGCTGTTTCATGCTGTGCCTCATCCAGCTTTCTTCCAGAACAACCCCGGCTCATTGTTATCATATATTTCCTTCAGGAGAGACGTGGTCCTTTTTTCGGAAAAACCTTCATACGTGAAGCACGCCTTTCCTTTTATACAAACAAAAGATAACACTTTTATTTGCCTCTTACACAGCCATGACATTGCATTTACCCTTGAAATTATATTTTCCTAACAGTTGCCCCATACATTTAAGGTTGCGTCAGAAACGATTTTCGTGATATCCAAACATATCACAAATTTATCGAATATAAGTCTGTCAAGTTAGGTTTTATTTCAGAATACTGAAATATTTATCAATTGACCTCACTAATCATATAATCACTCACCTCACTATTCATATATAATAAAGACATAATAAAGTGCAAATAATATTTTTAATTAAGAAACAGAAGAGACGTTAAATACCTATTATCATAATATACTATATTAGGTATTTCATGAGGACATAATTATTCCATAATAATATTGCAAAATCTTTAAAAATAAATAAATAAAATGTTTGATTACTGAATCACAACCAGTTGGTAAAGCAACAGCGAAAAATGCGTGATTTTTAGATACAATAATTTATTACGAAAATTTAGACGTCATTTATTAGTTTTCGTGGTCCGCTTGACCAAATAAATTCTTTTCAATTAATTAATCTTTTTTAAATTAAGGATTTGGTTGAGATAAAAAATTCAGGGTTCGAATCCCGCTTGTGACACTGATTTTTCATCTCAACCAAAACCTTTATTAAAAAAGTTTAATTAATTGAAAAGAATTTATTTCATGTTGAACCGACACACGGGCACTACTGGGTCTGTCTACCTCGTGAGTTTGTTTGTTTGAGTTATTCATACGCGTTTCGGCATTCGGCAAACTGAGTTTTTCACTGAAGATGGCGTAATGCCGAAACGCGTTTGAATAACTCAAACAATCAAACCCGCGAGTGTAGACAGACCTAGTAGTTCCCGTGCGCCGGTTCAACATGAGTTCGCCAACTCGCAGACCCCATCATCTACTAAGAATTTATTTGGTCAAGCGGACCACGAAACCTAATAAATGTAATAAGCAAAATGAAGTAAACTTCACTAAAGCTCTCCGAGGCCATTTCATTTGTCGCCGAGAATCAAATAGATTACACGACATTTGAAAAATGACAAATAGGAGGGAAAGTTTTAATGCGGTCAATGGAGGACCAATGTTTGATTGTAACGATAGAAATAGAGAAACAATATTTTTTAAAGAAAAAGTAAATACTAAAAACTAAACGAATATAATCACATAAGAACATTCTCCTCGCTGAAAATTGACAAATCACGGGATCGAAGCAACTTCGGGCGGGAGTCCGTCGGGGTCTCTGGAATAACAGCTCCGGCTAATTCCCTTTTTAATATTGCTTTTGGGTTGAACAAAACAATGTTATTAATTAGGGTTTGTTATCAAAAGTTTAGAATTGTCACAAATATGCTGGTGTAGGTCGCATATTTATGTTTCGCAAAACGGAAGAACTAACTGTGGCACAGCAAATTTTGATTAGAATTGTAATAATTTCGTTAATTTTTCCTGTCATCATCTTCTATGAAAATTGGGATGGTGGTCTAGAAAGAAGAAAAATTTGATTTCCGACCACACTTCGTCAGCAACAAGTTGCGTTCATAATTATGAAATATTGATTGTGATAGAAAGGTCTCTATGTAATACTAAATAATGAATACAAAAAAATTTAATATAAATAACAATTTCAAGTAATTATTCTTTCTATATAAGGTCTTGGTTGAGAAAAAAAAGTGTCTATCTTCGGCTAAATACGTCGCTACTCTACCACTTGAGCTGTTGTGACTTCGATTCTCTCGGACACTAACTCTCCATCTCAACCTACAACCGTTCGAATTTTCCCTCTTTTTGCCATTTTCATTTATTTCCACTAAGACCTTACATAGAAAGAATAATTAATGAAAGAAGTAACTTGGTAAATTGACCACAAAAAGCGTAAATAAATAAGAATGGTGAACACGGTTTATGTAGTAAAAAATTAACTTTCTTTAAATTGGTATCAATGTCACCCATTTGTCCATTTAGGAATTAGTATTTGAACTCACTATCCATTCATTCCAGATTTACGAGAAAGTGTACATTAATTAAGTAGTTGGTGGGGAATGAATAAATTCAAAGTGGAAAAAACAAGAATAGCTTTTGCTGGAAAATGAACATAGTTGGCCATATCAATGCGCCTACGGTTGTTTATACAATTTAGAAATATTTTCATCATCTAAGGATGCTTTTCTTCCTTCTTTTATTTTTTCATTTTCTTATTGGTTTTTATTATTGATTAGTTATGTGTAAGTAGTTGACAGTAAATTATATAATTAATTTTTGATTTGTTCCTTCGTTTTGCCGTTTTTTTTGTTATATTCATATTTCATTTATACGAAATTTTTTTATGATTTTTGATCATGTATCATATTTAATTATGAAAAATTAACTGTGAAAACTGGAGTATCACTTGACAGGATTCCACTTTCATCGACATTGGTGATATGAAGCCATATTTTTTCAGATTAAAACATTCTGACTGTAGTACGTTGTATTTCTAATACCCTGACCCATTGTTCATTTTTTTACATTCAGCGTTAATTCAATATTTAATAACGAATTGTTTATTAAAAAAAGAAAGCAATGGAACAGGACGTTTGGTCTTTCTCAATATTTCATCATGGGTTTCCAGTTGGCTGCTTTTCTTTTCTATATCTGTTTTTTTCATTACGAGACTTACCATTTTCCATTTCCGAGTTGTTATATCTATCCTTATGTCTTCAATGCGTTTTTTTCTTGCTGTACAAATCTTTGTTTTTCTCTGTCAAATCATTATGACATAACAATTAATTAAGGTTTTTAGTTGAGATGAAAAAAAGTTATTAGCACGAGAGGGATTCGAACCCACGACCTTCGGCTAGATACCCCGCTGCTCTACCATCTGAGCTATCGTGACCTCGATCCACTCGGACATCAACTCCCCATCTCAACCCCACCTTATGAGTTTTCCCTCCTTTTGCCATTTTTCAACTTTTTTTCCACCACTTTTTTCATCTCAACTAAAAACCTTAATTAATTGTAATGTATTAATTGGTCAAGCAGACCACGAAATTAGTGAATTATGACATAATGTTAAATATCCAAGGAAACCCTGCCAATAGAGGCCGGCCCTTGTCTCCGATTATCCTCGTGCAAACTGGTTTATGATCTTTGATGAATAGAAACCTGGGTGAATTCCCGCTGGATTTGTCAGCCGATAGGAATATTGAGGAATGGGCGACCCAACTCACTCAGATTCCAGAAGCTGCAGGTCTATGCATCCTCTAAAATATTTTCCAGGCCTTAAAATCTTCCACAAAACATATTTTATTTTATTAAATTAAGAAAAAAACTACAAATATAAAATTAAAGTACAGGCATTACCCACTATGGAGCTATTATTTCCTGGTTTCAATTGTTCAAGCTAAATTAACACACAAAATTCAGCGTTGGTCCCAGTTTGTAAGTATGGCTAACCCTGATGATAATACACTCTGATCCCAGAGAGATCAGAAACTTTAGGCAATCCAAATCCAACGGTTATAATTTTGCAATTCGGTATGGCTCCCAGTCAATGGTGCTCTGGTGAGTGATAGGTAAAATGTGGATGGCATGGGAAGATATTTCGAACCAGTTCATCATTTCAGGGTTCCCATTACCTTACCAGTATACAGTAAGCAGGGTTGTGTCCTAGAAATTCAATGCGTTCACGGCTAACTCAATGTCCAGAGTGTGAAATCGTAACGCCTAGCGAAAACATAGCGTCTAGGAATAACCACAGATAAGTAAGGTTGGATAATCTGTAAAATTTAAAGGTTAAGAATATAGCTAGAAAAGCACGTGTCTATTTGTTTAAGGCTAAGGAATTTTGGAGTTAATTCCCAAATTGCCATAAACTCATTTTATTAGAAAGCCAAAAAACCTCTGGGACATCCGCCTAGTCAGAGACCAATCAGCCTTCTAAGTGGAATGAGCAAAATCATTGGTATCATCAATCAGAATGGAAAAAACAGTATAGTGGATCAGCAGTTTGCTTTGACCTTTACTAAGCCCGCAAAAATGTTTAACCATAAAAAGCACATAATTCTCATCAACCTGGAAACGGCATTTAACATTATTTGGCAGTACGAGGGCTGATTGACATGGAATTTTCACGGTATATCGTAGAAATAGTTTCCTCTTATATAAAATTCCGTTCTGTGTCCATATAAACAACATAA